TGCAACGATTAGTGATTAGCTCTAAAGATATAAAAAGGATGTAAATTTCCCCAAGTTAACATTAGACCTGCACTGTCTACCTCTTAGAACCAGACTCCCCTCTTCCCTAAATTCTTTCTTGTAATATTATAGGATTCTTTAGAAATAAGAACCTAAAGATAGCCTATCTTATTCTCTCTAATAAAACATATATTTTATCTATAAACTATTGTTTGCCCGAACTGCACAGACAGAAGGGTATAGTTTCTAGTTGTAGTAAAAATTATACAGTACTTACCTGTTAGACACTACTATAAACCTGTGAAGAATCTCTGTAGCTGTGTCATTGTTATAGTACTGCTGTTAAAAAGGCTATAGTACTATAACAATACGTTTATATTTCTTTTATATAATCTTTACTCTAGAAACTTTCTTTAGTTAAAAATCGTTTTATACTTAAAACAGGATTTTTTTACTAAGTAAATTGAACTTAATAGTTGAGATTCAATTTGTTTAATAAAAAATCCTGTTTCTTTATATATTCAATTTGCTATTTTATCTACATTTTATCTATATTCACTATATTATCTACATTCACGTATTCTTATATATAATACCCATATTTATCATATTTTAAAACAAAATTCTGTTATGTATTTTTTTTTTTTAATAAACATGTTCTGGCTAAAACAGGTTTAAGACTAGAATAATTTAAATTAGTAATATTAAATAAAAATTATTATTTTTGTACAAACTGAGAGGGGACATGCTCTCAGAAATAGTAACTCTAACTATGCAGGTATTATCTTCATTAGATAAATTCATGATATATAGACATAAAATTTTAAATATATACCACAAAATAATAAGATTTAGCGTGGGTAGAAGAGCTTGGGTATAAATTTTGCTACTTGTTTATATTTGATAATTTTTTATTTAATCTAATTAATAAGATTATTAGTATGTATATAAGTAACTGTTTAATATCCAAAACAGAAAGTTGATTAAATTTTAACTTATCATTATTGTTATCTGAAAATGTATATGCTTCTCATACAATGCTAGATTCTTTGTTTGCTCGATTTGTATATATCAGTTCTGATTTGTCTCTAACATGTTTAATGTCTGGTGGTAAAATAAAGCTATTTTTAACCACTATCATTAAATTTTTCTTACGTTTTAGTAAACCTAATTTAATACTGTATATTCTTTAATATATACAATATAATTGTTAATTCTATAAGTTACCTTTTGGACTTTAAAATATCAGTATTTTTGAGATCTAGCTAAAATTGGTATTTAATATAATAAAAAATTTTAAATACAAAAGAGCCTTCGTTCAATTAATAACTACACTACATATGATTTGTATATGATTTTTATACTTTAATAATGATATTTTTTGTTTGATAGTATGAAATAGTTTATTGTTGTTTATATATATACTAAGCATTTTTATGGCGATAACAAAATTTTTAAATTTACTGATATTATTTAGCAGTTATAATGAAAAGAAAAAGGCCCAAACAACATTGTTTGACAGTGTATATTGAGGTTTTAAAAGAAAAGTCCAATACTTATAACTATTTTGCTATTTGCTTAGCATACAAGGAATTGAAAAAGTTTGATTATGCATATGCGAATAAGTTCGTTACTACAAAGAGGCTTGTTAAATTATATCTAAAAAATTGTAAGCATTTTAAAAACCTAAAGAAAAAGCATAAAGTTACAAAAATTATAAATGATTTAGATAGTGAAAAAATGAAAACCTAACAAAAAAAACAACAATCTACTTGTAAATAAATTTTATTATATTTTGTTATTCTAATATAAATTTTTGATAACTAAAATTTTTATTATATTAGTTAGTAGTGACGAATTTAATAGTCAAGCTTTCAGCAAAGATAATTCTGAAGTTGAACAAAAATCTCAAGATCTATTAGATTCTTATATCATGCATAAACTTTCTAAAACCGAAAAATCAAAATTTAATTATTTACTTTTAAAAATGATGGTATTCAATGGATAGAGTTTTAAATAGGTTGAAAATTCAGATTCATTAGCTCTTTTTAAATTTATTAGTCCAAAAATTATACTTACTACTCGCAAACATTTAAGTAGAAAGGTTTTAAATGAAGCAGTTACTGAATTTATGTCAAGAATTAAAGAAACAGCAAAAAAAGATGAAATTGGAGTTACTGTAACTATGGATAGTTGGACTAATATTGTAACAAAACTTATTAGGCTATGTTTTGATTACTTTTTCTGGTAAACCCTAATCTGAAAAGCTCAAGATATTAGTAGTGAAAGATCACGTACAAGTGATATTATTTTAAAAGTAGAAGAGTTATTCAATGAGCTAGAATCTCTTAAAATTAAGACTATAGCTTTAGTGACAGATAGTGCAGCAGTTTATGCAGCAGCCAAGTAATTAGCTAATAAAGTGATTTTTTATTTTAAATAAAATAACAAATCTATTTTGTAGAAGACAATTACAAGTTAAATATACGGATAAGGTTTTTTGTCTTGCTTCACATACCAAATTAATTTATGCATTTGTGAAATTTTTAAAGAATCATTAGCATTTAAAAATATTATTGATAATGCAATTACTATAACAGTATATTTTGGAAATATCAATAATGTATATTTTATTGGCAAATTGCACGAACAGCAAAATATTTTATATCACAAATATGTAACTCTTATTAAACCAGATATAACCTGATAGAATTTTTATTTTTATTGCCTAGAAAGCTTTTTAAAAATGAAGAAAGCCCTTAAAGTAAGTGTTAATACTAAAAATTAATGCATTGTGATCTATAAGTTAAATTTTTTTTTATTTAAATGTTGGTTGCAAAATATGAACCTCATGATAATGATTTAAGTGAAGAATTATTTGGCTTTCAAAGCAATGATGAATTAATACTTTCTGATAAAATATGTAGTATTGTTAATGACAAGAATTAGTAGTAACAAATAAAAAATATAAAATCCCTATTATTACCTTATTGTTCTTGCCTTAATTTGCTACAACATGATAAGGCATGACTTTTTGAGATATTATATTCATTTGGGTATTTAGCTCAAGTATTGAAAGGATATTATAATACTGACCTTGGCCAGCAACTTTTAAACCATTTGGAAAAACGATGGCAGTCCTGGAAACAACCTTTGTTAATATTATCTTTTGTTTTATATCCAAACTATCAAATAGAAAAGGTTAATGCAGCATTAAAAACTTTAACATGGGTTGACATAGGAGAATATATTTCATACTATTACTGTATGTAGTTTCGTTCTGAACCTAATTCAATTTTACAAGAACTTGAGCTTTTTTGCCAAAAAAATCTCTATTTAACACAACTACATCAAGACAATTTAGCAATGATGTTATCAGATATTAGAATTACTATGCATCACGTGCTAATGAATTGGGTCAAGTTGCATTACGAATTCATAGAATCTGTGTAAATGCTGTTTCTGTTGAATACTTATAGTCTTCGATGAGATTTATCTATTCTGATAGATGTAATAAATTGCGGGTAACTAATTTAATTATTATTATTTTATATATGAGTAATAGAAAAAGAAAATCTTAAATCATGCTTTTGAATATTTTTAATAAAAATATTTTAAAATAAAGATTTTAATTCAAAAAGCATGATTTACTAGTTTTTTCTTTCCAATACTTATGTTTATATATGCAACATATTTTTAATTATATTTTTATTATAGTTTCAAAAAGTATTAGCAATTTGTCAATTACGTAGAATACTTACTCAAAAATATAGAATTCAAGAATTAGATAAGCTTAAAAGGCTTTATGAATCGACCTCAGCACCTTCCTTTTTAGATGATTTTCACAATATACCAAGTACTTCTTCTATATTCCAAAATACTGAAACTGAAATTGACAATTCTAAAAATGAAAATACTGATGATGATAAAGATACTATGAAATTATGGTTGCTAGCATTAAATAAAAATAATTCTGATAGCAATAAAGATAATTTAAATAAAGACGAAGAATCAAATAATACATTAAGATTGGATTGTGATTTAAATAAATTATTAAACGATCAAGAACATCTAGTAAAAGATAAGAAGGCCAAGTGGCCATTGAATAATTTATTTTCGGTCAATTTAGAGACACCTTTTTTTGTAGCTAATATTTAAGTATTCAATATACTTTTTGTTAATAATATGAATAAATAAAAATTTAAGTGATTCAAGGAGCATATATATTTCTGAACTTCATGTAGCTACTTATTTAATTTTTTGTTTATTCTATTATTAATTTATTGAAACAATCCTTAAAATTTCAAACTATATACAAGTGATTTTCGATACAAAAAACTTTGATATAAAGAATACTAATTAAACTCTCAATATAAGAAAGTCAAGCCAAAACTGGTCTATAATAAATCTACTTGATACAAGAGTTATTAATAAACTCTTGATATAAGGAAGATTTGTATAATTTTTATTATAGACCTGACTACCTTTTTTATTAAGATTAATTTATATAACTAAAATATCATATAAATATTATTGTTTAATAAAAACATTTATCTTATCAGACTTGGTCTCCAGACAATTAGTCTCACAAAAATGTAAAGATGCAAATCAACTTATCAGTTCTATTAATTAATTAGTTTTTTCATCATACAAAAGCGATCAATCTATTTTGTATTTATATGTATTATGATAATATATATCATTTATTATCAAAGTTTAAAACAAATGGCATTAGAAACTATTATGTAGATTCAGATTCTTTGGGGGAACTGAATTCAATAATACAAAAATTAGTTACTTATTTTTTATAATTTAACAACAAACATTTTTTTTATCTAATCTAAAATAATCTTTGTTATAGCTTATGAAATTGCACTATTGTTATTGTAGTACATCCAATGTAGATAATAACTCATAAGATTGTTTTTTTTATTGTAAGATCAAGCATTTATATTACTGTTAATGTTTTATAAATAGCATTAATCCAGAGCCTTAAATATTATGTCATTTTGCCTCAACCTAAATTCATTATTTAAGTTTTTACAAGATTAATATGATAATTTGTTAATAAAAATCTAGTAATCTTATTGGTCGCGAATCAACAATCCTACGATTTGGACATTATTAGACTGGACTATGTTCAATTTGTATGTCTAGTATCCATATCCAGTCTAATAGTATAAAAATAATTGGACATATGTCCAAATCCAACACTGGGTAGCAGGTATCTGGCTTGAAAAATATATATAAGAGGCTATCTTTAGAAAAGTATACTAGTTTAAAAGAGTATCAAATAACAGGTATATCAAATTAGAAGACTATTAAAGACCAATTCCCTAAATAAACCAATTTAAGAGTTATCAAGATTTGATAGTGAGATATGAGGTAAATATAGTAGATAATTAAATATAGCCTAAATACTAAATATAGATATAATCTAATATATAATAAGAATGTAGCAAACTCTGATAGGTTTAGATCATAGATATGATTGTCTAAATTTGTATTCTTAAGTTAGATATATAGCTATATAAGACAAATACTTGAAATTATCTAGATAAAGATATAAGCCAAGACTTTACTTTAATACTAAAAAAAAAAATATATCAGTGATGATCACTGCTAGTGATTTGTAGTTAAACTCTAAAATAATATATAAAAATATTAATTAAATAGTATTTAAATTGTAAAAAATCAAATTGTAAATAATTTAAATAAATTAAAAATAAAATAATTATAATCAAAAAGAACTCTTTTTAACAATTCTCTGAACAACACAATAAAAAACTAAACTACAGAAAAATACTATAGAAAAGTTCAAGATATATACTATTTTAGTTTTGTTTTTAAATAAACAGTTGTCAACAAAGTCTAAAAATATAAAATACCAAGGAGAAGGCATAACTTGGATAGTTTTTCTTGAAGTCAAGTTTTTGTTTTTTGATAAACTCCTCAAGATATTTTGTATCCAAACTAGAAGATTTATTCTGAAAATTGAACTTATTTCTGAATAGGTTGCTGTTGATGAAGTTTGAAAAATATAAAATACCAAGAAGTAAATATAACTTGAGTAGTTTTTCTTAAGGTTAAACTTTCACTAATTAATAGACTTCTCAGGATATTTAACATCTAAACTAAAGATTTATTCTAGAAGTATGTAGTAGAATAGCCTTTGTTAAAATAGTATAATCTTAAAAAATCAACTATATAACTATAAAACTTACAGAAAAACCTCATATATTTTTGTTGATATCTACTTTTTTTCAGTAAAAATTTTGTAAAAAAGTGGGTAATTTAGCTTACCCTTTTTAAAAGATCGATATATTGTTTATTTACTAAATCAGGTAGCATTGTTTACTTATTATCTGTAATAGTGCAGACATTTAGAATTTTGAGGGGTAGCTACTTTCATCACAACTATCATGGCAAATACAGCACTTTGCCATATAAGTGAAAATATCGTGTGTCGTGCAAGTGCTGTATGCAATATAAGTATCATATACTATATAAGTACCATATGCCGTATAAGTGCTATATATCACATATTTTAGTTGAACACATACAAATCAGAATGTTCATGTTTACTAGCATTAGAGAGTCTTTTTGTCTTTCTCGATACTGACACTATCATAAGAGTTATATAGAGATTTATACAATTGTTAAATCACGACATTAAAATATACAATATTAGGCCACACAAAGTTGATTTTTCATTTTGCATTATCCGACCGACCCATTTTTAAATTTTTAAAAAAATTTTTTTTTTTTTAAATGTCAATTGTGCTAATTATTTGATTTCTGCCATTTATTTTTTCCGTTATTTTAACTGATGAAACAGTTTTCTAAAATTATCTGATATAGAAGCAGCAAAAAAAAAAAAATCCAACTGACCAACCCAATTTTTCAGATCCATATAATGCAAAATAAAAAATTAACTTTGCATAGCCTTATAGCAAAAACGGAAACAGTTATCATTTCATGAAATAAAATATAGAAATTTATTTAAAAATATATTAATTTTTTATACAAGTTGGCTTCCTTTTCTCTTCATATCAGTGATAATGGTAAGTATTATTTACTAGATAGCTGCGTGATAAAACTTAGCTAACTACTCAAGGTGCAGGAAAATAATTTTCATTTTAAAAATTTAGATTGTATATAAATATAAAGTTTTTATACTTGTATATATTTTAAAATATAAGCAACCACAATTTTATATATTTTTCGAATCGAATATGAAGGGTTTGCTTAAAGTCAAAAATAATTTTACTAGTAAACATAACCTTTGCCAAACTTTTAGTTTCAAAATCTGGTTGCTTTTATTTGGGGTTGCTTATATTTGGTAATATACGGTATTCATTTTCGATTTGATATATGTATTCTGTTAACATTATTCTATTCTAGATATACTGTCTTTTTGCCAATTATAATTCTTTTTTTCTTTAATAAAAGATACTGAAAGTTGAAAGTATTGCATGCCAATAAATTTTTGATGATGATGCTACAATTCATAATGAGACAGTACTATAATATTATTAGTGTCTCAAATCAGATAACAAATGACTTATTAAAACACAATGAAAAGCATATAGAAATCTGCTTACTATCATTACAAGCCAACCTTCTATAGCTGAAATATTACATCTTCAAAGCAAACAATACTTCGAATTAATTAACTATAAACCTACTCTAATCATATTGAAACTACTACGCTTAAGGGTAGAGTGTATGTCGATCATTTATCATATGATCTCAGTGGTACAATGGGATTTTATACATAAATTAAAATACGTCACTAGTAAAAGTTCTC